CTTTTGATTTCCCCAGTATACGTGGTTTTTTTTTTTTCTCTGTTTAATTCTTTTAGTTTTACATTTGTGGATTCTTTCGGATTTTAAAATTATTCGTAATTGGGTTTTTGTTAAATTTTCAGATGCATTTGACCCTGAATTCCCTTGTGTGCTTGAATTCCCTTGTGTGGTTGGACAAGAAAAGAAAAACCGTGTCTTGCGTTTTATACAAATTCCTTTTTTCAGGAAAGGGATAGTATAAATTGTCAATTAAACTAGAGAAATAATTTAACTTCAAATTTCGTAGTGTGATGTTGACGTTTTTTTATCTTTTGATGAGTCAATGTTCAGCTACTCCAGCCCTTTGCTAAAGTCTATAATAATGTATAAATTCGGTTAATTTTTCTCCTCATATAAATTACAAGTTACGAATTATGCATAAATGTATGAATAAACTTCGGATGCGAGGGAATATGGTGGTGAAGTCATCACAGCAACTTGTTTACCGACACTTATAAGAGCATTCAACACACATTCATAAATATACTCTTTGAAGAGATGCTTTCAGATTCCACTAAGTACCAAAAGCATGAATTCCAAGCGTATTATAAGAGCATTCAACACACATACATCAATATATGTGTTGGCAATTGGGTTGACAAGCGTATTATTTTTTTGAGTAAAAGACTGTTTACTACCCTCATGTTTCATGGTTTTCCACATTTAGTACATCAAGTTTTTTTCGTCTCAGAGTCATACCTAAAATGTAAATTTTGGGACAGTCTCATCATCTGTTAGTCAAACTGTTAAATCTGCCGTTAATTGTGACGTGGCGCCCATGTGGACAATGACTGGGCACCACGTGTCAGCCATGTTTTTTTTTTTTTCCTTCTTTCTTTCTTCTTCTTCTTCTTCTTCATCCGACTACAACTTTTTTTTTTTTTTCCTTCCTCCTTCTCCTTCTTCCTTCCTTCTTCTTCCTTCCCCTTCTTCTCCTTCTTCCTTCTTCCTTCTTCTTCCTTCTCCCTTCTCCCTTCTCCCTTCTCCTTCTTCTTCCTCCGAATCTAGGGAAGTTTTTTTTTTTTTTTTTTTTCTTCTTCTTGCTCGTTCTTCCTCGTTCTTCCTCCTTCTTCCTTCCCCTTCTCCTTCTTCTTCTTCTTCTTCCTCCAAATCTAGGGAAGTATTTTTTTTTTCCTCCTTCTTCTTTCTCCTTCCTCCTTCTTCCTTCTTCCTTCCTCTTCTTCTTCTTCTTCTTCCTCCGAATCTGCCCAGATTCGGCTTTTTTTTTCTTCTTTTTTCTTCTTCTTCTTCTTCCTCCGACTGCAACTTTTTTTTTTCTTCTTTCTCCTTCCTCCTCCTTCTTCCTTCTTTTTCTCCTTCTTCCTTCCTCCTTCTTCCTTCCCCTTCTTCACCTTCTTCCTTCTTCCTTCTTCTTCATCTTCCTCAAAAAAAAAAAAAAAAAAACCTTCATCTTCCCCAGATTCAGAGGAAGAAGAAGGAAGAAGGAGAAGAAGGGGAAGGAAGAAGGAAGAAGGAAGAAGGAGGAAGGGGGAAGGGGGAAGGAAGAAGGAGAAGAAGAAGGAAGAAGAAAAAAAAAAAAAACTGAATCTGGGCAGATTCGGAGGAAGAAGAAGAAGAAGAGGAAGGAAGAAGGAGGAAGGAGAAGGAAGCAGGAAGAAGGAAGGAGGAAGGAGGAGGGAGAAGGAAAAAAAAAAAAACTTCCCCAGATTCGGAGGAAGAAGAAGGAGAGGGAGAAGGAGAAAGGAGAAGGAAGAAGAAGGAAGAAGGAGAAGAAGGGGAATGAAGAAGGAGGAAGGAAGAAGGAGAAGGAAGAAGAAAAAAAAAAAAAGTTGCAGTCGGAGGAGAAGAAGAAGAAGAAAGAAGAAAGAAGAAAGAAGAAAAAAAAAACGTGGCTGACACGTGGCGCCCAGTCATTGTCCACATGGGCACCACGTCACAATTAACGGCACATTTAACGGCACATTTAACAGTTTGACTAACGGATGTATGAGACTGTCCCAAAATTTACACTTTAGGTATGACTCTGAGACGAAAAAAACCACGAAACATGAGGGTAGTAAACAGTCTTTTACCCTATTTTTTTAATTCTTGAACGGAATATAGAAGCTAATTTCTCTTTTTTCCCCAGTGTGACTAGTTTTTTACAAGGGTCGAGGCATTCTTCATCTTCCTTTTATTGTGGGTGCCACTAGAAGAGTAAGAAGAGATGAAGAGTCAAGAAGAAACTCTAGGTGTTCTCTATTTTTTAGTACCCTCTTTGATTCATAGTGAATTTGTTTTCTTAGGTTGTAGAATGAAAACTGTTTGCTACTGTATCCAAATTATCAATCATATACAACTTACTATAATTCTTATTTGAATTGTACTTTGGAGAGAGTTCCCAATAGATACAAGAGCAAAAGAGAAAGTAGGAGTTTCCTTGATCTTCATGGCCACTTCAAAGTTCAAAGTACGATGTGATCAATTGATAATTTTATTTATCTTTTCTACTATGTTGTTCTATTGCAACACTTAAAAACTTCTCATACATTCAAACTCAAGCGAAATAAGAAACAGGTGAAACAATTTGCATAAATACATGTATTAGTCATTCACAAACCTTGATAATGCCCACGAAATGCATTCAATTTCTATTTTTAATAGTTTGTGCTTCATTCCTTACTAATTTGACCTTAATCCCTTGGAACTTTGACGTCCCTCTCAACCAAACATATAATTGATCGAATGTTTCAGTAGGTGTGATGTTATGGTCAAAAATATTGATAGACATTTTTCGACTTTTGGACATTTAGCCCTCTTCATTGGAGATGGCCTTAGGTTAGGATTGTGGGGACTCCATTAAAAGTCAACATTGGAGATGCTCGCTTTACAATAATTTCACTAGACAACATGATTGATAAATTGAATCTTTTTGATGAACATATAGGTGAGTCTTTACCAAATTTGCTTTACCCCAAACTATTTTATTCACCAAGGTATTCAAATCCTGGTGTGAAAAGTAATATCCTTTTGAGTGAGGGATTAACTTTCTAGATTCAGTGGTTCACTTAAAAAGATATTACTTATGAAATTTGTGGTTTTGATAAAATTATTTTACACCAGGGTTTGAATACCTTGGTGAATAAAAAAAGTAGTTTGGGGAAAGACAAACTTGGTAAAGACTTACCTATATCTAGTGCATCAAAAAGTGTCAATTTATCAATCATGCTGTCTAGTGAAATTATTGTAAAGCAAGCATCTCCAATGACGACTCTAAATGGAGTCCCCACAACCCTATATGACCTAAGGCCATCTCTAGTGGAGAAGGTTAAATGTCCAAAAGCAGAAAGATGACCTGATTTGTCAAAAAACTCATCTCCAATCGAACGTTTCAAGATTTGAATAGCTTTGTCCTTGGAGGCGTGTAATGTTCGTGATAAAAGAAAGGTCTTTTGCACAAGTGAAACAATCGACATGAATAAAGACTTCGAGCATAACGCGCCATAATAAAAAAATGACCTTTCACAAACACGAAAGCACGTATCAGAGAGGGAGGGAAAACTTGAAGAAAATATAGTAATTAAATACGTGGCACCACTATAGACTTTAGATGATTTTAACGGTTATGATTAAAGGTTATGTAAATTCTGGTACCAAAAAACCCCCGTAGAGGATCAAACCAGTCGCTCTACTTCTCCAAATACACAAGTTAGTCGTGGTCCCTAAGCTCTCCCTTAGGCCATCTCCAACCGATGGCTGGCCAGAGGGTTCGTTTTAGCCCTCTAGCCCTCCAAGATTCTCTAAAATATTAATCTTTTAATGAACAGTACAAGACCATATTTGCCTTCGTCTCCAACCGAGGCCCAGAGGGCCAGATGGCTCGTTTTAGCCCTTTCACAAAAAACCGTCTCCAACTGAGGGCCAAAGGGCCACAAGGCCAAACATAATTTATTATTTAAAAACTAAAACTTAAATGTTTTTAAAAATGTTGTTTAAGTTTCATGTTGTATAATTTTTATGTTGGTTAATGTTATTTAATGTTGTTTCATATTGTTTAATGTTGTTTCATGTTACTTAATTTAATTCATGTTGTATAATGGCTTGGGAAGTTATAGGAAAAAAATAGAATTTAAAAAAAATATGAAACAAATTTTGTGAAATAGAAGTTATAGGAAAAAATGGAATTTAAAAAAAATATATGAAACGAATTTTGTGAAATAGAAGTTATAGGAAAAAAATGGAATTTAAAGAAATATGAAATAAATTTTGTGAAATAGAAGTTATATGAAAAATTTTGTAAATAAATAATAATAATAAAACTGTAAAAAAAAAAAAAAAAAAAAAAGAAATGTAACGGCTACTAGCCGTTGCATTTGAATTTTTTATTAAGAAATCCTGTTAGTTATAACCGACAGGAATACATGCTATTATTTAGTATAAATGTTATTTCTGTTGGTTAAATAACAAAACATTAAAAAAAAAAAAAATAGCCAGCCCTCCAGCCCTTTAGCCCTCTCCGATTTTGTGGGGTCCTCACAAATTCCAGAGCCCTTTAGCCTAGCCTTCGGTTGGAGACGATTTTCGGACTATTTTTGACCTTCTGGACCCTTCGGTTGGAGATGGCCTTAGTGCTATGCCATTTACATGTCAGAAATCTCCCGGAAGGTCACACACCGTCAATTCTCCGATTCCCCAAATCCTTCCCCCAAGGTATTCACTTCTCTTCTTCCCCTCATACTTTGATTCTTGTATACATTTTAATTCTGTTTTATTCACTTCTCTTTTTCCTTTTTTGTTTTAGGGTTTATGTTTTGGCATTTCGATTTGATTAGTTTAATTTTCTGTTATCTTCCTAGAAATAGAGCATAGTCAATTTTGGGGATTGAAGATTTTGATGCTGACCTTTTTTTATTTTTATTTTTGATACTCATCTTGATGTGTAAGCAAAACCCATTTCTACATTGTTCTAGGTTGTACCCAATCCGATACCGAGCGCTAAGTGCTACTCATAGATACTGCTGGGAGTGTTTGTTTTCTGGATTGTATCAAAAGATGATAGGGAATTTGTTGGCCCAAGTGTCGACATGCCCCACGCTGTTATCTTTGTCGTGCATTTCTTCGAATAGTTTGCCGTATCTTCCTTCAAGACCACCAACAAAAGTAACCCGGATAAGAGCTACATCGGCCGACACAGGACACAGCCAACAATCCTCCTCTTCTTCTGAGAAAAATAATCCACTTGCAGTTGTTTTGGATGTCCCTCAGACTATTTGGAGGCAAACATTACGACCGTTGAGTGAGTTTGGCTTTGGTTGTAAAAGTATATGGGAAGGTGGGGTAGGTAAAAGTATATGGGAAGGTGGGGTAGGATTGTTTCTAGTTTCAGGTGCAGTTCTTGTTGCACTCAACTTGGCTTGGTTACGGGGGTATCAATTGAGCTCTAGATTCAGGAAGTACTTTGCTGTGTTTGAGTTCACTCAAGCTTGTGGAATATCCACTGGAACGCCAGTGAGGATTATAGGGGTCACTGTCGGCAATGTTATCTGTGTTAACTCTTCTTTGGAAAGTATTGAAGCTGTTGTTGAGGTATGTTTCTGGAGATTTTAATCCCTCTTAGTTGATCTTGTTTATCGATGGTCTCCGGTGTTATGCAAACTTATAAGATGATGGTGTGCGAATATATGAACAATAAAGTAAACACGCCACACACAAACCTAAAGAATTTAGGGTTCGGAAAGCTTTGCGTACTTCTCGTGTGATCTCTCTTCAAAAATCACCTGCACTATAGAGAATAATAACTCTTCAGATATAGCTCCCAAACAGAGTTCTCTTCAGACATAGCAACCATCCTGTCAGGTTGCTATAGCTTCTTGATACGTAGATGGATCTTCCTGACTAACACTTGGAGCATAATTGACTTGATCTTGATCAAATCTAGGCATAGCAGTTGCGGGCTGCGAGAATGGTACCAAATCGAGGCAAACTTTGACTACTAGATATGACCTCAAAATAACAGGGGTCAAGGTCAGCTAGTGAGACAATGGGGATAAGCTTCATCGTGGAGAGGGAAACAACCCAGATCACCAACTAAGGCCCCTAAACGACCGCTTTTTTATTTCTTTTTTTAATTACCTTCTGTCATTCCTTAAGTCCCATAGGTTTGATCCTATAGAATCTGACCCATTTTATCATTGAGCGAAAAGTATGAAATAAAGTAGATTGATTTTTCGATCAAAGGTAATATGTGAAATCTTTGGTTTTTTTCCTCTTTCTCTATCCCTATCCCGTATGTACAGTGTTTGAATCAATAGAGAACCTTTTTTTTCTGTATCTGTTTTAAATGTATCTATATAAATCAATATTATTACATTCGAATTCCTTCTTGATACCTCCCAATTTTTTGTCAGGTTGCTTGCAATTTCATTTCGTTTTGTTTAATGCTATGCATCTTTGAAATTGTTGCACAAGTGATTGAGGAACCAGGGAGTCTTGGTTCTACAATGGTGATAGCTTCACTTGAGCCCGAACTGGTGACTGTTGTTGTTGCTCTAGTTCTTCCTCATGAATCGCATTGTCATGCTCTGCTTGCTCGTACTCCACCTGAGGTGGATTTTCTTCCATGACCCATTTTGTTATATGAACTTTGGTTGCTTCTTCTATAACATCAGTCTTCTTCTCCTCACCTGTCTTGACTTTAATTAGTGGCATGTTCTTTTCGACGAATATGATATCTCTATGTAAAACCTTCTTGTTGATAAGATCCCATAACTTGTAGCCCTTCACTTCTTTCTCAAAACCGATGAATATGTATTTGAGTGATTTCGGTTTAACTTTGGTACTCTCATCGCTCAAAAAATTAGCATATGCGCAACAACTAAAACCTCTTAATTTGGAATAGTTAACAGGTTTGCTAGACCATGCCTCTTCAACACACTTAAAATCAAGAACACTTGAGGGTGACCGATTGACCAAGTAGCAAACATGGTTAACCGCTTCTGCCCAAAACATGTCAGAGAATACCGCATGAAACCGCATGTCAGTTCAATTCATTCCCTTTGTAGCTCCCTTTTGTTAAAAGAGTCTTCTTCACAATGAAGTGTCTTGTGATGCCTTTTTCCGTGCAACACAGTAATAACTTCTTTGTCTCTATATCAATGTTTTAAAGAACTTGCCTTAGGGCGCGCCTAGGTGGTCTTGGGGGCTGGGCAGCTGGGTTTACACCTTTGTTTTGTTAGGGTCGGTGAATGGTGGCATTGGGGCATGCCCAACCGTTCAACTTGGGCCTGTTTTTTCTTCGTAATCCATGTCTGTCTCTGAAATCCAGGAAACCCTGCCATTCTAGTTTCAACAAAGAAGAAAGAGAGAGTTTCTTTCTCCAAACCCTATGTGACAAAGTCTAACCCTAACTCTTTTCACATAAATACCTTGCGCTTGAGAGCTTTCGGTGTTCTCATCTATCTTGACATAAAATTGAATAGCTTCTAAAACCTCATCAAACTTTAGAGCATCCTTACTGAGCATGAGTGTGGTTCTGAAGTGCTTGAACGAAGATAGTAGAGATCTCAACAGTAAGAGCCCCTTGCCATCGTCTTCATACTTCACATCCATCTTTGATAGATTGGTAACACAATTACGAAATTTGCTCATATGATCTTGCAATTCTCCACCTTCTTCCAACCGAAGATGATGAAGTTCGTCTTTCAAGAAAAGTTTGTTGGATGAAGTTTTACCGCTGTAAAATTTCTCAAGCTTCTCCCATGTTTCTTTAGCGCTCATATCCTTGTCGAGACGACCCATCACATTGTCAGCTTGATGAAGTTGATAGAGCTCTTCGTCTTTCTGTCCAATTTCCAGTGCTCATCTTGTTGAACTAGGACATTCTTCATCTTCCTCTGCACAACATGAAGTTTCCTTCCCATCAAACGGCTTGATCATGGCCTAACTTGCCTTTTCACCCACCATCTCAAAACACTACAACCTTAGCTCTCGATATCAATTGTAGATTTTAAGCCCTCTTAGTTGATCTTGTTTATTGATATTCTCCGGTGTTATGGAAACTTACAAGATTATGCTATGCGAATATATGAACAATAAAGTAAACACACCACACATAAACACAAAGAATTCAGCGAGGTTCGGCAAACTTTGCCTACCTCTCGTGTGATCTGTCTTGAAAAATCACATGCACTATGGAGAATAATAACTCGGTTACAAGAACTTATTGAAAACCCTTATGCATAACCTCAAAACCTTGCTTTATGTCTCTCTACCACTCTTGGCTCGCTACCCTTGTGTTCTTTCTGCCGTTTGTGCGAATAAGAGCCCCCAACAAGCCTATTTATATTACATAGGCACATAGTTACATGCCTTACAAGTATAGGATTCCTAAATCCTTTGGGAATAGGGAAAACTAACTTATCCCAATCCTAAACTAATTGGGATTACAAAGGAAAAATCTATTACCCAATTCTTTTGGGAAATAATCTTGTGCACATCATTTTCTCCTTTCCCAACACCAATTGGAAACTAAACCTGCTTGCCTTGGTAATTTGACGAGCCAAATCACAACAGTTTGAGTGGCATAATAATCCATTTTCAATGCTGAATGAAAATGCAGTATATTCTTAGTTTTTCCACCTTGACAATGAAATTTCTGCTTTTGTAGGTTGAAGATGATAAAACTGTCATACCTCGAAATGCACTGATTGAGGTAAACCAGTCGGGTCTTCTCAGGGAAACTAAAATTGACATTACACCTAGAGACCCACTTCTGAATATTTCAGTTGGGCCTCTTCATCCTGAATGTAGCAAAGAAGGTCTGATTGTATACGATAGACAAAAGATGAGAGGACATCAAGGTGTGATTTTAGATGCATTGGTAGGTATATTTACCCGTCTTGGACGTGAAGTGGAGGAGATTGGTATAGTAAACACGTATTCACTCGCTGAACGAGTTGCTTCTGTGATAGAAGAGGCAAAGCCACTGCTTACACTGGTGTGATGTGTCCTATTATGTTTTCTTCTCTAGTTGAAAATTATTTCTGTTGATTAGGCTAATTAGGGCCATTCATTTACATATTTTTTATCTATCTTGGACGAGGACAACCTATTTGGTCCAGAATCTATTTGCTGCAAATTTAAAAGGCAGAAAGTGTAGGGACTTTCGTCAGCAATGTGCATTTGTGGAAGGTCCTGGAAGACATCATTTACATGTAACAATGGCGAAACTGCAATAGGGGTTTACAAATCTTTCAGTTTTCTGAGGCTGCATATCTATTAATATTTCTTTTTTCTTTTGGTCTGATCTGTTGAATAAAAGCTGAAGTTGCCTTTAAAATTACTTCACAGATACCAAAGTTTGCTTGGAATGAGTGGTTTGCAGATAGGAAGATACATGCAACAACAACAACAAAGCCTTTTCCCACTAAGTGGGGTCGGCTATATGAATCCTACAACGCCATTGCGCTCGGTTTTACACATGTCTAAACCCATTTTGTGTATGTGTTGATGCTTCATCGCCCAACATTCTGTGCCATACATCATCGCCGGCCTTATTGCCATCCTATAAAATTTTCCCTTGAGCTTCAGTGGCCTACGACGGTCACACAACACGCCGGATGCACTCTTCCACTTCATCCATCCAGCTTGTATTCTATGGTTGAGATCTCCATCTAATTCTCCGTTCTTTTGCAAGATAGATCCTAGGTAGCAAAAACGGTCGCTCTTTGGTATTACCTGATCTCCGATCCTCACCCCTAACTCATTTTGGCCTCCATTTACACTGAGCTTGCACTCCATATATTCTGTCTTTGATCGGCTTAGGCGAAGACCTTTAGATTCCAACACTTCTCTCCAAAGGTTAAGCTTCGCATTTACCCCTTCCTGAGTTTCATCCATCAACACTATATCAGTTGCGAGAAGCATACACCAAGGAATATCATCTTGAATATGTCTTGTTAGCTCATCCATTACCAACGCAAAAGGGTAAGGACTTAAGGATTGTTGATGCACAAAATCAGTGAGGACTTTGGTACAACAGAAAGTATTAAGTTATTGCTCTGGTCATTAATGTGGATAATATGTAAAAGGATAGAGACAGGAAAGCAAACATAAGATGTATATGGTTCACCCAGATTGGCTACGTCCACAGAGTAGAAGAGTTCTCATTAATTGTGAAGGGTTTACACAAGTACATAGGTTCAAGCTCTCCTTTAGTGAGTACAAATGAATGATTTAGTACAAATGACATTAGGAAATATTGTGGGAGAATGATCTCGTAATCACGAAACTTCTAAGTACCGAAGTGTGGTATCGTCTTCACTTGCCTTATCTGTCTCATAGGTAGCTGTGGCATCATCTCTGGAAGTACTCTTCCTCCATCCAGGGGTGGTATCTTTAACTGGTGGAGATGCACAAGGTAATGTATCAATTTCACTTGAAGCTTACTTGTAGTTTCAGGCTTGGTCAAGCGCGATACAAACCATGCAGTAGGAGTCCCCCAAGTCGCCGAGCTAGGGGATCTGCTGAAAGAGGTGATAGACAAGGTAAGCAATCAGAGCTCCAAGTAATGAGTCCCAGATCAGAAGTTTGATTTCGAGTTCCGGCTGATTGTTCTCATTGTCCCTATCTTGCAGGCAGCATGAAGGATAAAGAGAAAAAAAGGAGAATAGATGATATGAGATACTTTTGCTTTTGAAGAAGTAACTTTCCACAAGCTTATTCTTGAACTGGGCTGGAGGGTTTTCTGGTTTCCTCCAAAGTATAAGGCCGACTGAAGAATTTGAGGGTCAAAACAAGTCCATCAAATCTAGAGTACGTTCGACCCTGCTGATATGGGATACTTTTGCTATTGACAAAGTAGTGGATGTATCGGCACGCGATCTGTTACACTTGTCTCCACATGCTTCCTTGTATCCTTCTCACTTTCCCTATCGGTTCCTCAGGCAGATGTGGTATCTTCTCTGGAAGCACAAGATGTTGAAGATGAGTACTCGAGAGCAATGCTAGGTAAGTAATCAGGTAAGGGGTTCCAGGCAGTCAGTTCTTGACTGGAAGCTTGATTCCAAGTGCTGACTGATTGCTCTCGTTCTCCTTGTCTTGCAGGTAAGAACAAGGCCAAAGGAAAAGATAGGGAAAAAGCATGATATGGGATACTCTTGCTTTTAACCCTGATGATATGAGATATTCTTGCTCTTGTGTAGCTTGTTTGCAAAGGTATTATCGGGGGCAAAGAAAGCTGAGTATTTCGAGAGGCTTCGTTGGGAGTGCCCTCTCAGATATGAGGAAGGGTTGAGCATTTTTGCAGGTATGCCTGTCCGTTGAGGATGGAGGTGGACATATATAGGAGTCTCCCTAACAACAAGTAGTAATGCTATTCCTTTATCCTGCTTGGTCATAGCATGGTAGTGGGAGCTGCCAGCTTCACGTGTGTCAGAGCACTTTGAAAAAGTGGTCTGTGGTATCTGGAAAGCTGATGTTGCGTGTGAAGATTACAGACAAGCTTTATCCAAAGAGATCTGGCTCTCGAAGTTGAGAAAGCGGTGCCTCTTCGATTTTTGAACAAGCAATCCTGTCGGGGATCTGGCTCTCGAGATTCGGAGAACGGTGCCTCTTCGATTTTTGAGAGAGCAATCCTGCTGGGAGTCTGGCTCTCGAGATTCGGAGAGCGGTGTCTCTTCGATTTTTGAGAAATTAATCATGTTGGGAGTCTGGCTCTCGAGATTCGAAGAACGGTGCCTCTTCGATTTTGGAGCAAGCAATCTTGTTGGGAGTGTTTTCTCGAATGTGAGTAAAGGTAGGGCATGTTTGCTAGTCTACCTTGCCACGGAGCACAGAGGTTGACACACAGGGACTTTCCAATTATCCAGCAGTGGTGCTGTTCCTTTACCCTTGTGGGTAATAATATGATAGCTAGACCTTCAAAATTTATATGTCTAAACTTTGTTAGTGTTGTTTCTTTGCTATTCTTTTACCCTTCTTGGTCATAGCGATGTAGTGGGAGCTGCAAGCTTCACGTGTCTAAACTTTGTCAGAGATCTTTGGCAAAGTTATCTGTGGTACCCCTGAGCTGATGGTGCGTGTGAAAAGTGGATGATTGAACAATAAGATTCACGTGCTTTCTACTTCACCAGAAATCTTCAACAAAATGCCTGTAATTTCAGCAAAACTGAGTGTGCATGTGATAGGTGCTGACAAGGCTAAAAAAAGCAGGTGTCTCTTCCATTTCTGAGATCGACCCTCGTAGTCTCTGAGCAGCCCAGCTTTTGAGAAAGCAAGCCTCTTCGATTTCTGAGATCGGTCTTCGTGGTCGTTGAGCAGCTCAGCTTTTGAGAAAGCAAACGCCTCTTCGATTTCTGAAGCTCCGTCCGGTGCAGATTTTTATAGAGGCTGGCATTAAGTTTCAAAGCACACTTGAATCTTCACCAGTAGAAGCTCCCTTCTTGCACTTCTAAGATCTTGATTTGTCCGACCTCTTCTCTCTTCAACACCTTTGAAAATGTTTGGCCCCTCCGACCGTCGTTTTGACTTGAACCTTGTTGAAGAGGCAGCCACGCCTTCTCCAGACAACATATGGCGCCCATCTTTCTTATCCCCTACTGGTCCTCTTACCGTTGGGGATTCCGTGATGAAGAATGATATGACCGCTGCGGTAGTAGCCAGGAACCTTTTCACTCCCAAGGATAACAGACTACTTTTTAAACGGTCTGATGAATTGGCTGTTAAGGATTCTCTGGCTCTGAGTATTCAGTGTGCAGGTTCTGTGTCTAATATGGCCCAACGCCTATTTGCTCGAACTCGCCAAGTTGAATCATTGGCGGCTGAAGTGATGAGTCTCAAACAGGAGATTAGAGGGCTCAAGCATGAGAATAAACAGTTGCACCAGTTCGCACATAACTATGCTACAAACATGAAGATGAAGCTTGACCAGATGAAGGAATCTGATGGTTAGGTTTTACTTGATCATCAGCGGTTTGTGGGTTTGTTCCAAAGGCATTTATTGCCTTCGTCTTCTAGGGCTATACTGCATAATGAAACTCCAAATGATCAACCTCCGATGCCTCCTTATTCTAGGGTTATGTCCAGTACTGAGGCTCCGAATGATCCCTCTCCGATGCCTTCTCTTTCTGGGGCTCTACCGACTGCTGAGACTTCTCCTAAGCAACCTTTGTGAAGGCTCCCTCTTGTTTGTTTATTTTGACTCATGTATATGTACATATTTGTAACTTATCGGAGATATCAATAAATAAGCTTTGCTTCATTTCCAACGTATTGTGTTAAATACACCAAAGCCTTCTTCATTGAGTGGGGTCGGCTATATGAATCTTAGAACACCATTGTGCTCGGTCCTGTGTCATGTCCTCCGTTAGATCCAAATACTCTAAGTCTTTTCTTAAAGTCTCTTCCAAAGATTTCCTAGGTCTTCCTCTACCCCTTCGGCCCTGAACCTCTGTCCCGTAGTCGCATCTTCTAACCGGAGCGTCAGTAGGCCTTCTTTGCACATGTCCAAACCACCGTAACCGATTTTCTCTCAACTTTCCTACAATTTTGGCTACTCCTACTTTACCTCGGATATCCTTATTCCTAATCTTATCCTTTCTCGTGTGCCCACACATCCAACGAAGCATCCTCATCTTCGCTACACCCATTTTGTGTACGTGTTAATGCTTCACCGCCCAACATTTTGTGCCATACAGCATCGCCGGCCTTATTGCCATCCTATAAAATTTTCCCTTGAGCTTCAGTGGCATACGGCGGTCAAACAACACGCCGGATGCACTCTTCCACTTCATCCATCCAGCTTGTATTCTATGGTTGAGATCTCCATCTAATTCTCCGTTCTTTTGCAAGATAGATCTTAAATAGCGAAAACGATCGCTCTTTGGTATTTCCTGATCTCCGATCCTCACCCCTAACTCATTTTGGCCTCCATTTGCAATGAAAGTGCACTCCATATATTCTGTCTTTGATCGGCTTAGGCGAAGACCTTTAGATTCCAACACT